GGCAAAATGCCGGCAAAATTGGCGTTTTCATTTGTTTACGCGCAAATTCAACCGCAAACATCGGCATCGTAAACATACTGTATGCCGAAAATCTATTCTCCTGTACTCATATTTTGCAGAAAGGTGGCCTTCTCGAAGCGATGACGAATGTATTCAGAAGAGGAAGCCTTCCAGCACCGTCCACCTCTTTCCAAAGCGATTTTCCATTCGGAACTGCGACGAAGCCACAGCCGACTATAATGGAAAAGATAATTACGCAAGGTATCTCAGCTAGCCAAACAACTGTAATCTGATTTAAAACTGACGTATTATAGCTGCTTCTGCTCTGAACCAGTCATTTAAAGACAAAGAAATCAAACCACAAGAAGTGCATCTGACCAAGGATAAAGAGGATTCGTTGAAGGTAGTGAATATACAACATAAAGCTCATCATGAACGATCTAATTCAGCTTCTGGATAATCTACCAGAGGAGGAAAGGAAACTCCTGAAAGCAGCCATCACATCAGGAGAACTAGATGCGGAAACGCTTGCTCCAGCCTTGAAGTAAGGAGTACTCAGATGATGTTTTTGGTCAGCGAAGACTTCTTTGAAAACATAAAACAAAGCGATGAAGTGAAGGTTCATTACAATAACTCGGTAGAAGAACCCACAAACCATCAAGTAATTATCACAGTCCAAAAATTGGATTTTTATTTATGTACAGTGTCGAAGAAGTTCCTTTAGGACAATGTACAGTCTATTTATACATTTTTTGTGCGGACCATCATTGTATGATCTAACGAGAAAAATTTTTTTTGCCCTCCGCCGTATCTATTTATTAACCGGCAGGATATGATTGACTCTGATCACATTTTATTTCTGACAACATTTATATGTTTTTGTACAGATCACTTGTGAAAGAGGATATGGGAGAAGAATCCAAAAAGGAGAAGGAAAGTCGACTTATAGAGTGGATTCGAGAGAACCGACCAACTAAAAAACAAAAGGAAATCAAAGTGTCAGCGGATAAACTACCATATTACGGAAAATACTGTGGAAGCTTTGCTGAGCAGGCGAGTTGCTTTTTACTTGAATACATGGTCTCTTTCGAACCTATATAAAAAAAGAGCCGAACGCATTTTAGCCAAATCCAAAGAAGAAATTTAAACCTTCCGGCGCCTTGTGGGTTGTGGACGAGCAACGTTTTATAGTGTCCAAATTTGTTTTCCAGCCAGGATCTCTGTTATCAGGTTGAAAAAAAGATTAGTATAAGGTGCACACTATTCATGACATTATTTTGCAGAAAATGTGACTTTTTGGCTTGGTCCTCAAACGCATACGGAGAACATCTTAGCAGATATGTTTCCATCCCAGAATGGTTTCTATGTTCGACCGCAGCCTATTGACGTTTCTATTTTTGCTCTTCAGGAGCTTCCAGTCAGTCTATTTTTGAAGTATTTCCACGTATGTATCTTACAATTTCAGCCAATCAAAGCCAAAGCACGGAAGTCATCGCTGGCTATCAATGGAACTATGCCAATTGAACCTGTAAAAGATAAAGTTAAGAAGACGGAAGATGCTCTGAGAGTGAAAAGGGATGGTGAGCAATGTGCGAAGGCCATCGTAGTCAACGCGGTTTTCATTATTCATAAGAGGTATACCATCTAATGCATTCCTTCCAGCCGAGGAAAACCCTGCAGCTGTTCAGAAGAAACCTGTGAAGCTGATTGTGAAGGTAAGTGCGCACCATCTCAGATTTTACCCTCAGACCTTACTCTGTTTTTTGAATGGTTCTTTCGCAATAATTAATCCGCAAGAAGCTCTTCTTCCTTTTAGCAAAAACAACTTCTTATGAAGTGGTATCAAGCTGAAAATTAAGATGCATAATTATAAACCATTAGACTTGAATAAAATAGAAATGGATATGGTCTAAATTTCATGAT